TATTTTTTTACAGATAAAACGTGCCAAAAAAAATTATTTCTAGCCAAAAAAAGTTCTCGAGCTTTGGGAATAATTTTTTTGACATATTTTCTCTGTAAAAAAAATAATTAACTAATTTTAGATTTAATTAGTTAATTATTTTTTTTTTACAAATAAGACGTGCTAAAAAAAATTATTTCTAGCCAAAAAAAATTCTTGAGCTTAGGAAATAATTTTTTTGACATATTTTCTCTGTTAAAAAAAAATAATTAACTAATTTTAGATTTAATTAGTTAATTATATTTTTTTACAGATAAAACGTGCCAAAAAAAATTATTTCTAGCCTAAAAAAATTCTCGAGCTTTGGGAATAATTTTTTTGACATATTATCTCTGTAAAAAAAATAATTAACTAATTTTAGATTTAATTAGTTAATTATTTTTTTTTACAGATAAAACGTGCCAAAAAAAAATTATTTCTACCAAAAAAAAATTTTCGAGCTTTGGGAATAATTTTTTTGACATATTTTCTCTGTAAAAAAAATAATTAAGTAATTTTAGATTTAATTAGTTAATTATTTTTTTTTACAGATAAAACGTGCCAAAAAAAATTATTTCTAGCCAAAAAAAATTTTCGAGCTTAGGAAATAATTTTTTTGATATATTTTCTCTGTAAAAAAAATAAATAAATAATTTTAGATTTAATTAGTTAATTATTTTTTTTTACAGAGAAAATATGTCAAAAAAATTATTCCCAAAGCTCGAAAATTGTTTTTGGCTAGAAATAATTTTTTTTTGGCACGTTTTATCTGTAAAAAAAAATAATTAACTAATTAAATCTAAAATTAGTTAATTATTTTTTTTTACGGAGAAAATATGTCAAAAAAATTATTCCCAAAGCTCGAGAATTTTTTTTGGCTAGAAATAATTTTTTTTGGCACGTTTTATCTGTAAAAAAATATAATTAACTAATTAAATCTAAAATTAGTTAATTATTTTTTTTTTACAGAGAAAATATGTCAAAAAAATTATTTCCTAAGCTCAAGAATTTTTTTTGGCTAGAAATAATATTTTTTGGCACGTTTTATCTGTAAAAAAAATAATTAACTAATTAAATCTAAAATTAGTTAATTATTTTTTTTTTACAGAGAAAATATGTCAAAAAAATTATTTCCTAAGCTCAAGAATTTTTTTTGGCTAGAAATAATTTTTTTTTGGCACGTTTTATCTGTAAAAAAAAATAATTAACTAATTAAATCTAAAATTAGTTAATTATTTTTTTTACAGAGAAAATATGTCAAAAAAATTATTTCCTAAGCTCAAGAATTTTTTTTGGCTAGAAATAATATTTTTTGGCACGTTTTATCTGTAAAAAAAAATAATTAACTAATTAAATCTAAAATTAGTTAATTATTTTTTTTTTACAGAGAAAATATGTCAAAAAAATTATTTCCTAAGCTCAAGAATTTTTTTTGGCTAGAAATAATTTTTTTTTGGCACGTTTTATCTGTAAAAAAAAATAATTAACTAATTAAATCTAAAATTAGTTAATTATTTTTTTTACAGAGAAAATATGTCAAAAAAATTATTTCCTAAGCTCAAGAATTTTTTTTGGCTTGAAATAATTTTTTTAGCACGTTTTATCTGTAAAAAAAAATAATTAACTAATTAAATCTAAAATTAGTTAATTATTTTTTTTTACAGAGAAAATATGTCAAAAAAATTATTCCCAAAGCTCGAAAATTTTTTTTGGCTAGAAATAATTTTTTTTGGCACGTTTTATCTGTAAAAAAAATAATTATAGTATAATAATCTTTGTATTCATTCCGTCATTTATTCACATTTTCTTAGTACTTGAATTTTCTCATTATTATTAGATTATATATACACTAGCTATAACAAACGCGCGTAAACGCGCGTGAAATTTTGTTGTTTTGTTTACAATCTTCAAATCATCATATTTATTAATATATTCCAATTAAAACATTCAAATTTCAAACACTTATACAAAATATAAATACTGATCCGGTGTGCTATTCTGTAATTTCTCTTCACTTCACTTTAAAGGACCCCGCACAAAATAGTATGGTATAGTATAGTATAGTATAGTATAGTATAGTATAGTATAGTATAGTATAGTATAGTATAGTATAGTATAGTATAGTATAGTATAGTATAGTATAGTATAGTATAGTATAGTATAGTATAGTATAGTATAGTATAGTATAGTATAGTATAGTATAGTATAGTATAGTATAGTATAGTATAGTATAGTATAGTATAGTATAGTATAGTATAGTATAGTATAGTATAGTATAGTATAGTATAGTATAGTATAGTATAGTATAGTATAGTATAGTATAGTATAGTATAGTATAGTATAGTATAGTATAGTATAGTATAGTATAGTATAGTATAGTATAGTATAGTATAGTATAGTATAGTATAGTATAGTATAGTATAGTATAGTATAGTATAGTATAGTATAGTATAGTATAGTATAGTATAGTATAGTATAGTATAGTATAGTATAGTATAGTATAGTATAGTATAGTATAGTATAGTATAGTATAGTATAGTATAGTATAGTATAGTATAGTATAGTATAGTATAGTATAGTATAGTATAGTATAGTATAGTATAGTATAGTATAGTATAGTATAGTATAGTATAGTATAGTATAGTATAGTATAGTATAGTATAGTATAGTATAGTATAGTATAGTATAGTATAGTATAGTATAGTATAGTATAGTATAGTATAGTATAGTATAGTATAGTATAGTATAGTATAGTATAGTATAGTATAGTATAGTATAGTATAGTATAGTATAGTATAGTATAGTATAGTATAGTATAGTATAGTATAGTATAGTATAGTATAGTATAGTATAGTATAGTATAGTATAGTATAGTATAGTATAGTATAGTATAGTATAGTATAGTATAGTATAGTATAGTATAGTATAGTATAGTATAGTATAGTATAGTATAGTATAGTATAGTATAGTATAGTATAGTATAGTATAGTATAGTATAGTATAGTATAGTATAGTATAGTATAGTATAGTATAGTATAGTATAGTATAGTATAGTATAGTATAGTATAGTATAGTATAGTATAGTATAGTATAGTATAGTATAGTATAGTATAGTATAGTATAGTATAGTATAGTATAGTATAGTATAGTATAGTATAGTATAGTATAGTATAGTATAGTATAGTATAGTATAGTATAGTATAGTATAGTATAGTAGATAGTATAGTATAGTATAGTATAGTATAGTATAGTATAGTATAGTATAGTATAGTATAGTATAGTATAGTATAGTATAAACATCATTTTTCAGGTATAACGAGTGATCGTTTAACTCAATTTTCATCTTTTAACTAAGGCGACCGAGTGAGAAATATAATTTTATTATTCTTGAAATTTAGTTTTCCTCAAATTTCGTTGTCAATATTCCGACGATTTTAAATTCTTTCCTAAATTTATTTTCAATTTCATTTCTTAATATTTCATAATATTAAATAATATTAATATAATAATAATATTAAATTATTAATTAATTATTGAATTAGATAAGATTGTCAATTTTTATCGAAATATATTGCAATGTAATAAAAAAGTGGATGCTGCGAAAATTGATCTGAAAACATTGAATAACTACGCCGCCTGGAGAGTAACTGTCTGGTTTCTTGGCAAGAAATATATTCAAACTACGTTCATTTAAATTTTTACAATTGAGCCATGGACGTAAGAATATATGGATGGAGCATTATCTTGCGGGGCGTGCGTCCTGAGACGGAAGGGGGATCTAATATATCGCGGCCATATTGGTCGGGGAAAATATTGTTTGGTTGTGATTGGTTGACGTTGAAATCGTCGAAAAGTGTGAATATGTGGAGTGTATTATTTACAATTAGATATATTACTATTATATTATGTTATTATTATATTATTATTATATTATTATTATATTATTATTATAAACAATTAGATAAGAATGAACTTGTGATTATTCCATTTAAACTAAGCGCCTTATGCTTAATAGCCAATCAGCGCCTAAACCAATCACAGACCAGAAAATGTTCTCCGACAAATATGGCCGACTACCACTACTCTCCCCTTCAGATAATTTATCCCCCTCATCCACTTTTGCCAGAACGTGCTCCGTCCATATATTCTTAAGTCCATGAATTGAGCAAAATGTTCAGAAAATGAACTCAAAAATGTAAGTTTAATTAGAAAAATTTTTAAATACCGGAAGAAAATATAGATTAGCCTGGGTTAAAATACCAAATTACTTGTATTTAAAACTGGACCCATATGGCATGTTTTAACATCACATTCAGGGATATATCTTGTTGATGATTGATAATTGTTTAGTAAATAATTCAGAGAAAACTTAAGTAAATTATTTTAATTATCACAAAAATTATATAAAATTTGTTAATTACAAATATTATATATGATATCACATTTTAAGTAACATTCAGTCAGTTTCAATAAGAATTTATTCAGAGAATTCTGAAATTTCGTTTATAAAACAATGAATTTCAATTTGAACTAAATTTATTTTACATTATAATTTAACAAAACGTATATTGTTCATTGTTTAGAATCAATGTATTATTACAAAACAAAATTAATTTTAAAAATTTTAATAATAATTCGAAATGACAAAAATTAATAAGTCAATTTTGTGCAAAAGACATTCAAAATTCACCTTGAAATAAAAACTAAATTAATGGAATTCAGATTTCGGAATTCTCTGAAATAATTAGATTATATAGTTAGATTATATAGTTAGATATAATTGAACATTAATCGAAAATTTTTGGTAAGATGCGTAATACAATTTAAGATATAATTATTTAAATGGAAAAAAATGTATTATTTTTACAAATCTTCGATGTTAATTTACCAATTAGATGTACCAATATTAATAACAAAATTAATCATAATTTTTTTAAACAAAACAGGAAATTATTGGCAGACAAAAATTATTAATTAATAAACAAATTAATTAATAATAAAGAAATAGTAAACCGAAATAAAAATCTTAAAAGAAAAATTTTTTAGTAAATAAATTTAGTCATTTTTTACCTACTTATTTTTACATCTTAATGGTCACTTAATATAAAATGTATTATGCATCAATTTTCTGGAACTAAGAACTTCATAAACTTTTTTTAATCAACATCTTCTCTCCGCAATTGGCCATCATTTATGCGCTTCAACTCTCTATATCCCAGCAAAACATCCGCTAAAGGGAGTGGAATTACTTCTCTGGATTTAATATTACTTTCGTCATCGACTTGTAAAAAAATTCTAGGCCCTGAAAACAAATAATTTTTATATTTATAATTCTCAAAAAATTTATTACAATCATTTATTAATAGAAATATTGATAAAATCCCAATTAATATTTTGATGATAAAAATATGATAAAATTTATTTATTTATAATGTTTACGATATTCATTCTTTTCTTTATTTAATTAAATATAATTACCTTGTGTATGGATTCTTCCAGTTACAGCTACAGCAGAGCCTTTTTGAAAATTTAAATTGTTTTTGAAATCGTTTATTCTAACTTCGATTTTAAACTCTCCGTCAGTAAGAGAGCCACAACCGTAGGTCCCTAAGTTTTTATTTACACCAACTGACTGATAAACAAACTTAGTTTTGATGTAGGAATTGATTTCTGCAAAGATAAAATAAAACACAATAATTTCCTTACAATTATAATAAAAGAAAAAAAGTAATTTGAAAAAAGTGTTCATAATTTTAATGTAAATTTAAAAAATAAAATGAAGCAAGTTGCATATTCTTCATATTATTGCTTTCTCCTGAAAGCATTGTTTTGCCTACAATTTTCAAACTTCATTTTTTTACATTAATTTACGTTTCCTGACTTCAGGAAGTCAAAAATCATTTTTAAAAAATCTCACTCTCTATGTGTCTTTCTTTGCAAACATTAATGTTCTCAATTAGTTTTGTAACGCGTTTTGAGACGCATCTTTTGTTTTCTTTTTTTGAACTTATTTCGTTAATATTAGACAAAGTTGTTAACATTTAAAAAATTTAAATTTTCAATATTTTTTTGGTTTTCTGGTAATTAATTCTGATTGAATTGTTTTTATTTTTCTTTAAGATTATAATTTACAATTTCTACATTTTTTATGAAAGTTGTAAAAAAATTTATATTTCAATGTTTTCGATTTTTAAAAAAATATTTGCGGTTAACAAGGACAAAGAATGTATAATAAAAAGTCAAAAATGCAAGTGAAAAAACTCTACAAAATCGAAAAAAAACATTTACATTGATTTAGTTCCGCATACAAATAAAAAGTCAAAAATGCAAGTGAAAATACTCAACAAAATCGAAAAAAAACATTTACATTGATTTAGTTCCGCATACAAATAATAATAATAATGTATTTCATGTACTTACGAATTAACTCATTTTCGTGATGAATAGCATCACATAACTCGACTTCTTCAATTTCAATTTCTTCGACTACATCTGGTACATAATCGCCTACTACATTAACTTCAGTAGTTGCAAATAATTGCAACTCAAAGTTAACATTACCCTTGTTAAATTCAGGTCTCGTTGGTACCCGAGCTAGAGCTCCATCAATGTGCAGAATCTAAAAAAATATTTATTATTAAGAGACCATTCACAAATGATGTCACGCAACTTTTCAATTTTTTTTACCCCTACCCCCCTGTCAAGCTATTTTACTATATTTTCTTATAGAAAAAATACATTGTGTCACGTTTAGCAAAGCCCCCCCTCCCCCTCAATACATGACATCATTTGTGAACGCTCCCTAATATTATTATTATTTATTATTATTTATTATTATTTATTATTATTATTATTATTATTTTTATTATTATTATTATTCACCTTATTAACATGAATCTTCTCTTTCAGAGCGTCGATGTCTCGCTCACCCCAAATGACACATTGTATAGTTTTGCCACCACCATTATTCAGAAAAAATTTGAATAATTCCGATTTTCCAGTAGTTTTGATGGGATGTACAAATTCCACATAGGATACCAATTCTCTACAAAAATATTTTTTTCATAATTATTTTGTCAAAAACATTTTATGATTTTAAGACAATTCAAATAAGTTAACAATTAAAAAAATTAATTATTGCATAATTGAAATCGCAATTTTTTAAGCTTTTAATTAGAATTAAAATTATTATTTTATTTAAATCATTATGAAATTTATGTATTCTACAATTATTTATTTTTTGTATTTATTACAATTTATATTAACTTTAGAAAATATTTGTATTATTAATTATAATTATTATTAAACTTACACTGTCCTGTCCCAAAATCTAATTTCATCAAGAGCTTCACAAGATGTGTACTCCATTTTGTCCTGAAACATACATATATACAAAGATAGATATGTACATTATAATAAATGTAATATTTCTAAAAATTATTTATACTAAGTATTTATACTGCATGCAAGCTTCGCACTCATCTACTAAAACTTACTATTTACTACTTTTTTACGATTTGCTACTATTTGGATACTTTTTTCAGATTTGTGATTCGTTACAAAAATTCAATTATTTTTAAAATATTGAAAATTCTTCGCTGGATTTTAATTATTATTTTCTAAAATATTAACAAAATTCATTGAAAGAATTCAATTGTTTTCATAAATAATAAAATTCTTCGCTGGATTCAGATTATCGTCTAAAATATTAACAAAGTTCGTTGTAAAAATTCAATTAATTTCATAAATAATACAATTTATCCCAGGAATTCAATTATTTTCAAAAATATTAATAAAATTTGTTTCAAGAATTCAAGTACTTTTTAAAATATTAATAATTAATAAAATTAGTTGCAAAAATTCAATTGTTTTCAAAAATTATAAAATTCTTTGCTCGATTTCAATTATTTTTAATACAATTTCTAATAAACTTCTCGAAAAATGCAATTACTGTTAAAAAGTGTATCAAATTTGAAATTGTCCGTCTTTGAAAATTGTAATTGTTGTAAAACTAATTTAAATATTTGTTATAAATAATATTTATTATTTTCCAAGAAAGTTACTAAAATTTTGCATAATTTTATTTAAAAATTCAATACAAATAAGTGAATTTTGAAAGAATAACAGTTGTTACTTTTAGAAGTAGTTAAATAAAACTGTTTTATAAATTTATTTAATAAAAATTATTCAAGTTTTGAATAATTTAATTTAGAAATGGTGAAAGAAATTAATGTTTTGAATACTTGCATTTAAGTTTTCACTAAAGATTGTTAAATCCCCGTAAATAATTTAAAAAGATCAAATTAAATTACCAGTTAATTAAAAAATTTTGTTATATTTAATTGAATTTTTAATTTTTTCTAATTTTTGAAATTTTAGTTTTTACTTTTAAAAATTAGTTTTAATTAAATTAATTTTATAATCATATTTTTGAAGTAGGATTTTTAAGTATCTAAAAATTTGGAAAATAATTGATTTTGAGAAACATTTAGAATTGAAGTTATTATCAGGATAAGAAAAAATGTTAATATTCTTTTTGGGAATGAGAAAAAAGTCATGGAAATAACGAATCAAAATTTTATGAATCGACTAAAACTCTTTTTTTAGTCAATTCAATTTTGCGAAAGCTACTTTTTGCTACTTTTTTAAAATCAAGTATTGAGTGCGAAGCCTGTGCATGAGTAAAATTAACTTGTATTAGAAATATTAACAAAAAAAGAACAAAATTATAAAAGACTAAAAAACAAACTAAATTTTTATTACTGTTAATCAATTGTAAATAAAAATTTATTGCCCTTCTACAAAACTTTAAACTCAAAAGAATATAGACAAACTTCTTCAAATGTGACTATGATAAACAGATATATATTTACATACATAATCATCAAAACATGAGAAAAAAAATATCAAAGTCTTAGAAATCACTATCTCTATTGTACATAAATGTATCTACAACACAGACTTTTTATTGTAGTAAAATATTAATCATGATTATTTCCTAAACATTATAAACACTTATTACTATGATTATTTATCTTTCAAACTTTCTGTATTAGACAACTAAGAACACAAAAACAATATTTTATATATAATTAAAAGAAAATATTGCAATATTCAACTATTTTTAAATTTTAAATAAAAACCTTTTAAATAAAAAAACCTAATCAAAAATAATTAATTAGAATATTTCAAAAATAATTATCCTGATCTAACATTGTATAAAATTACATTTGAGAATGTTATCTTTATTTTATTTTCTAAAATTAATCAATCTCTAGATTTTTATAAATTAAAGTAAAAAAAATAATAAATTAATAATAGATCAAATACAATTAACATTAGTTTTCTCTTATTTTATTGTAAAATTTTAGTAACAAAAATTAATTAATTTACTTTGAAACAGTTTAAATATGTATATATCATTCCCACTAAGAAAGAAAACAATGGATTTTAAAAAAATTATTAAAACTTTCTGAATTAGACAATTAAGATCATAAAAATAAAAATTAATTACAAAATTTAAAGTAATTGTTAACCACATATAATTGTAAAGAAAAGAAAGTTTTTCTTTCACTACTAACTTGTAATTTAATGAAGATGTAAGAAGCTTGAAGGTTCACAAGACACTGACAAATATTAGAGGACATATATGAGGATTAATATATAGAAATGAAAAAATTATCTAATTCAAGGAATCTAACGTTCTCATTGTATATAAAGTTCACACGTAACCTGAGAAATTTTTTCACAATAACCTCACTAAACTATTTATTATTATTATTTCCCATTAATTGTCAAGCGAAAATATTTTGTAAATTTTTTATTAGAATTAATTTAAAAATATACAAATTATTTGGATTTTTTTATTTACTTTAATAAAATTTTTTTTATTATATATGTTATATATATATATTTTAAACAAAGATATTGTAATATACAACTCTTTTTTTACAAAAAAAACCTAATGGAAAATAATAATTTAGAATATTAAAAAAAATTTCTTCAACTAACAATGTAAAAAATTATATTTCAAAAAATTAACTTTTATATATCATTAGAAATTAATGAATCTCTTAAATAAATAAATTAAAAATCAGAAAACAAAATTAAAATAAAATAAATTTAGTCTTATATTTTGGTTAATATTTAGAAAAAGTAATTAAAAATTATACTTCAATACACTTTAAATAAGTATATACCTTTCTCAGTGAGAAAGAAATCAATAAATTAAAAAAGAATTATTAAAACTTTCAGAATTAGACAATTAAGAACACACAAATACAAATTAATTACAAAATTTAAATTAATTGTTAACGACTTATAATTGTAAATTAAAAAAGGTTTCTCTTTCATTACTAACTTGAAATGTTATGAAGACGTGAATAGCTTGAAGGTTCACAAGACACTGACAAATAATAGAGGAAATATATGAGGATTAATGTCCAGAAATGAAAAAATTATCAAATTCAAGGAATCAAACCCTCTCATTGTACTATAATGTATATATGTAACCCGAGAAATTTTTTCATGACAATTTTGCTAAACAGTTTATTATTATTTCTAATAAATTGTAATGCGAAAATATTTTGTAAATTTTTTATTTTTTATTACAATTAATTTAAAAATATACAAATTATTTGAATTTTTTTACTAACTTTTGGAAAATTTGACTTTTATTATATATTATATTTATATACATTTAGAACATATATTTCGCAATATTCAACTCTTTTTAAAATAAAAAATATAATAAAAAAATAAATTATAATATTTCAAACAAAATTCCTGAACTGAAATTGTATAAAACTACGTTTCAAAATGTTATCTTTATTTTATTATCAAAAATTAATAAATTTCTGCATTTTTTTATGAATTACAGTAAAATAAACAATACAATAATAATTGAACAAATTTAATTAACATAAGTTTTCTCTTATTTTATGGTAAAATTTTAGAAATAAAAATTAATAAATTTACTTTGAAACAGTTTAAATATGTATATATCATTTCCACTGAGAAAGAAAACAATGGATTTCAAAAAAATTATTAAAACTTTCTGAATTAGACAATTAAGATCATAAAAATAAAAATTAATTACAAAATTTAAAGTAATTGTTAACCACATATAATTGTAAAGAAAAGAAAGTTTTTCTTTCACTACTAACTTGTAATTTAATGAAGATACAGAAATGAAAAAATTATCTAATTCAAGGAATCGAACCCTCTCATTGTACTATAATATTCACATGTAACCTGAGAAATGTTTTCATGATAACTTTCCTAAACAGTTTATTATTATTTCTAATAAATTATAAAATATTTTGCAATTTTTTATTAGAATTAATTTAAAAATATACAAATTATTTGAATTTTTTTTATTAACTTTTATAAAATTTGATTACATTTAGGATATGTTTACAAGGTTGCTACGTTTCCAAATTTTTAGAAGTCCCTGACTTTTCCAGGTTTTCCAGACCATTTTTCTTAAAATACTCTAACCAAATATAGAATTGATTTCTAATAAAGATTTCATTCATATGTTCATTAAATAATTCATTGAAATTTACAATAAAGTATTTACAAACATCTAAAATTACTTTAAAAAAATTCTGCCTTTTGATGTCAAAAATATACTTTTAATCATAAAAAACATAATTTTTCTTTTTAAATTTTATTTTCACCTTGAAAACTTTGATTATTCAAGTTTTAAATATTTAATTTCTTTTAAAATTCAGAAAAAATTGCAAAAATTTTAACACAATTGTTTAAAGATGCTTGCATTTTCTAAATAATGTTATTAAAAAATGACCAAAGTTAATGAAATACTTATTTAAAAAAAATTTTAAAATTATAAAATAAATTGCAAAAAATAATTGTGTCTGATAATTATTAAAATAAAATTATTTAACAAAATTAAAGTGTCTTTAAACAATCAAGTTAAACAAATAATTTGAATTGACTTTTACAAAGAGATCTAATTAGAGTTTTTATTTAAAAGTAAAATTTAAGAAGATTTAAATTAAATTTTTTTAATAGAAGTTTTGAAAAAATGTATTTGAAATTCTGAAAAATAAAGTTTTTAAAATAGTACAAGTTAATTTTTTAAACATAATTTGAATGTTTATGAACAAGTAATTGAAAAATAAAATAATTGAATTTTCCTAAATTCTACTAAAATTTATTGAATTTTTAAAGAATTTTATTTAAAATTTTACAAAATTATCAAGGGGAGTTTCATACAGTCACTAATTCTATTTTGAACTATTTTAATTCTTTTTTAGAATAATCAGGGAAAAATTCAAAACTTTATTTAGAAATCAGTGTTAATTCAGGGAATTATATCTAAAATACTGGAAAAATAACAAACATCTAAAATTACTAAAAAGATATTCTGCTTTTTGGTATCAAAAATATATTTTTAAACATAAAAAACTTAATTTCCCCTTTTGAATTTTATTTTCACTTTCAAAACTTCGAGTTTTAAATATTTAATTTCATTTAAAATTCAGAAAAAATTGCAAAAATTTTAACGCAATTGTTTATAGATGCTTGAATTTGGGTAAAATTTTCTCAAAAAAATCAATGTTGGTCATGGGTTTTACCGGGCATTGAAGTTTTGAGTATAATTTTTTTCAAAAATGCATAGCTCTGAGACGTTTTAATCGATTTTGTTCATATTTATGTGACTAATAATTGTTTTATTGATAATTTTAATGCAATAGAAAACAAAAAAAAATTCGGAAATTGCCCCAAAAAAAGTAAAAAAAAATTTTGATTCCACTTTTTCGGGCATAAGCACCCCTTCGATTTTTTTCTATTCATAATATTTAAATTCCTTATCTTCTCCTGAATTTTTTCAAAAAAAAATTGCTGAAGACTTTAAAACTAACTAAAGTATTCAACTTTTTGTCCTGCAGCGCACGTATTTTGTATTTACACGAACGCGTCGAGCCTGAGGTCCATGTGCCGGACAATCCTATTTTATTTTTGATTTCTTAATCCTTACTATTATTTTGATTATGAAGTTATTTATACACATACTTATTTTATACAAAAGAAAAAATATGAAATAAATAATTACTATTGTTATAAACATTTTATAAACAAAGTTAACCACCCTGTAATTATCATTGTGGAAGATAAACTTTTACAAGGGTTAATTTTTCTAAAAAAAATTTAATTTAAGTCATGGGTCTTTCAATTTTTTAAACTTGGAATAAATATAGTTTTTATGAGAGAAAAATTAGGAAAAAAAATTTTTTAAATTGGAGATTTTTCCGGTCATCAAACATTGAAGAACAATTTTTAAAGGAAACATTTTTATGCATTTATAGTTGGATTTTATTTATATTTTAGGATATAATAATAGATTTACTAACAATTTAAAGTGTATTATTTAAAAAAAATTAAAAATGTCCCCAAAAAAATATATGTGCCGTTCGTTCTTAAGTACGAGCCAATATTATTTACTTCTGATTTTTTTATGTTTTGTACAAAGGATGAACATAACTTAAACGAAAAACATCTAAGAAATCATTTTTCTGAATGTTGCTCAATTCAATAAACTGGAAATTTTCATCATCAAGTTCCAAAAAATGAAAACGAAATCTTCTGCAAAGTTTACCTTGCATCTAAAGATTTTAAATTATTAAAAATACTAAATTGAACATTTATCTACTTAAAAAAATTTATAATCGCAAATCTTGATTTTTAAACGTTTGTTTTTTCTATCCTTTTCAAAATGGCGGATCCAATATGGCGGACGACAAAATTAAAAATTCATTTAATCGGCATGAAACTTGTTACTCGAGGGTTTCCGGGGTCGCTGATTACGAATCTGAAGTTAATTTTTAAAAATTCAAAATTGCGAATCCAATATAGCGGACGACAACATTAAAATTATACAAAAACACCCTTCTCTTTTACCACACGGGCCCTTTTGAATTTTTAAAAACTAACTTCAGATTCGTGATCAGCGACCCCGAAAACCCCCGAGTAACAAGTTTTATGCCGATTGGATGAATTTTTAATTTCGTCGTCCGCCATATTTGATCCACCATTTAAAATTTTTCAAAAACCGACTTCAGATTCGTAATCGGCAACCCCAAGAAATAATTTTTTAGCGAGTCCGATTAATTTTTAATTTTTTCATTCGCCAAATTAGATCCACCATTTTTAATTTTCAAAATTTTGCGATTCTGATATTATATTCGTAATCTGCGACCCCTAAAACCCCTAGTTAGTGATTTTCAAGCAAATATGATGGATTTTTTTTCAGCCTTACCAAAAGGTAGTTAATATATTGACCACTGTGACTGAAAAGGTTACTTTAGTAAACTTGATGTCAAAGTAATTAGTTATGTTTGTCAAATTTCTTTTATATACTTTAAAATTGCAAACAAATCCATCTTATTCTTACATTTTTACATCTCTGGCGTAAGGTCCCTTTTAACTTACCAGGTCACATTTAAAACATTATTTTATTATTTTATAAATAATAAAATTTGAATTATTTAAATTAATTAATATACACACTTACCTGTCAAGATCAAATTAAAAATCCTTTATTTTTTGTTATTTGTATTGTAATCATCAATAATGTTTTCACTACACTCGCTCCGATATTTTCTAATTTCTAGTATCACTTTCTAATATCTTATTAAAGTAAATAAAATATTTCTATATGTTAAAGATTTAAAAATTTTCATTACATACATTCCATTTTACATATGTACTGAAAATTCTTTAAAGAAATAAAAAATATAGAAACATTACAAAATATTCCCTGGATAACTAAAAAAAATTGTATGTATATTTATAGCTGAAAAATAATAATATTCATATATCTTATTATTATTTCATCATTAATAAAAGATATTTTATTACAAAATTTCATTATAAACAATATTTTTAACATATATTTTTTCTGGAAATTGATTATTTTTACATACTGCTGAACCTGCAATATGATTTTTTAAATTTTCCTTCGATTTTACTCGAGAACAACCAACATAAATTTGGCCATGTCCAAAAGCTGAAATTGGCAAATAAATTCCAACTCTATCAAAAGATTGTCCTTGAGATTTATTTATAGTCATAGCATAAGCAAGTCTAATTGGAAATTGTCTTCTTATCATTTTGAAAGGAAATGTACCTTGTGAAGGAGATAAATCAATTCGTGGAATAAAAACTATTTCACCTTTAGATTTTCCAACAATAATTTCTGCAGAAATAACATTTCTTAATAAAGATTTGACAACTAATCGGGTACCATTACATAATCCTTTAACCAAATTCATATTCCTTAAAAGCATAATTATACATCCCTCCTTTAATGATAATCTATGAGGTGGTAAACCATCTGGTGTTAAACTATTTAAAACTTCCACTGGAACAATGTTATTGATGTCTTTCTGATCCTCGTCTACATGTGAATCTATACTGTAATAAACAACTTCATTTCCTTCTGAATTTGACAAAATACGATCATTCATATCTAATACCTCAGAATTTGTTAATGAAAGAATGCAAGAAGAATAAGCAGATACATCATTTCGACTTATTGATGAACCATATATTTCTTCAATTAAATTTCCATTCGAAATCAAATCTTGTGGAATTTCTAAAACGTTATTTTTCTTTTCAAATGTACTTTGATGTTTACCATCGCCGACATTTAATAACCAGTTTGAAAAGTTTATCTGATTATTATTTAATCTAACATTAACGTGTAACGACCTAGTTTGAAAAAGATGCCACAATTTACTATTTTTCACACATACTTCAACAATATGAGTCCGACTACCGTGTGGAACAATTGGCAAAATTTGCCTAAAATCTCCTGAAAGCAAAATAACTTTACCTCCAAACGGTTTCTTACATTTCGTAATATCCCTCAACATAACTTCCATTGCTTGTAAAGCATATTTAGGTGCCATTGTAATTTCGTCCCAAATAATGATTTTAGCACTTCTTAAAAGTTCACTGTGTTTTGACATCCCACTTATATTACATGTTGAATCTTCATTAATTGGTATAGGAAATTTAAACATAGAATGTGCCGTTCGTCCACCTTTTAAAAGATTCGCAGCTATACCAGTCCATGCTACTGATAAAACCACCAATCCTTCACTCTCTACAGTTGTAATTATTGTATTATGTAAATAACTTTTACCACTTCCTCCAGGTCCATCGAGATAAATATATCTATTACTACAATTATCATTATGTACTGCCATCATAATATCATTGAAAACATTACGTTGGTCATCATTCAAACTTTTAATAAGACAATCAGACTTTATTTTAAGTAATTGTAATTCTAAAGCACTATTTTCCTTACTTACTGAATTATAATCATCAAAAACTTTCTGATTAATATGTGGCAAACCAAATTGATGGAGCGAAAATCCATGAAAACTAAATACTTCATTAATTAGAATTAATGATTTTTGAATCGATACTTCCACAGGTAAATCATTCTCAAAAATCATATCTTCTTTGTATTTATTCCATAAATCAATAGCATTAACAGGCGATCCAAATACACATATGTATGCTAATAAACGACAAAGTTCTTTAGGAAACTTCATACTCACAGCTTCAGTCAAACAATTGTTCCATTCGTTATCGTCTACCATTAAATTTCTCGCACGTGCAGCTTCTGTAAAAGTGTTGTATGTAATACCTTCATAAGTTTTTATATCTTCAAATGACTTAGCACCACGTACATAAAGTAGTAAAAGTCTTAGAAAATACCTTTCAATATCTTTTGGACTAACAAAATACATTCGACAAATTAAGATTTTAGTTATTCGTTGTCTTACTTTCCAAGTTTTTGAAGATTCAACAAAAACATAGTTATGAGGTATTTCTGTATATAAATATTTGCGCGCCTCGGAATCTTCTGCATTCAATTTAAACCATGCCGTCAATGTCGTGTTTTTGAATTTGTTAACGGCTTCTTCCTCTAATCCTTCTTGAAAACATATTGATTGTTGATTAGGTAAATGTACAGCTAATCTGTATGTTGCATGTGATTGTTCATGCATAGGAAATTCGTATAATCTATGCATTGCTTCTGGTGGACATACATATCGTGTATTTAAATAATATTGAATTTCATCATATTGCATTTCTTGATTATCATCCTTGTAAACAATAAATGCACAGTCATGGCCCTTATAGCAATATTTAAATAAATATTTAATGCCACCTGTACTACTACATACCATAACAGTTATGTGACATTCAAATTTTTTACTTAAATATGGATTGTAAGGTACAATCATTGAATTATCTGCAATACACTTAATTGATCCATCTTTATTATAAAAGATAATTTGCTTACCATCTTTTCTTCTTCTATATTCTGGATAATTCTTAGAGTGATAAGATGTTTCTGAACAAAATGGCTTCGGATAATATTTCGTACAAATTTTTTTTTCAGAGTCCATGCAAGGTGAATTTATATTTTGATTACCACAAGGCCCATGGACTTGAAACTGCTTTACAATATTAAATAGCTCAGGATTCTTTATTTCATCTGGTATTTCTGCACATATTATTTTATCTACAGTTTCAGTATCACGGATCTTTTCACTTAAAAATGTAATGAAATGCACATGAGGCAATCCACGCTTTTGAAACTCTATTACATAAACAAATGCAATAACTGGACCAAAAATTTCTTCATCTTTTATTTCTTTCATTAATTCTTGTACTTTTCTCCTAAAAACTCTTGCTACAATGTCAGGACGATCAGACGCAGATTCACAATCTAACAAATTTTCTCTAATCTCGCACCATTTTGGATTCATTTTGGAAGTCATGGTAATAAATAAATCTGGTCTTCCAAATTCTTGAACTAATCGCATAGCATCCATGAAAGATTGTTGATAGGAACGTGGCCCTCCAGTAAATGTTGAAGGCAAAATAACAATTTTTCCTGGTCGAACATTCTCTTCTTTAACTTTATTATTAACATAATCCATTAATCCACAATACATTTCTGCTCAAAGTTTTTTCTGTTCTAAACGAATGTATTTTAAACGCTCACCTTCTACTTTTGACCAGATGTCAACTATATATTGTTGAGTTAATTTTCCTAATGCTAAACATGGATTAAAAGTGCCTCTATATGAAAGTCGATACATATAAAACTGTAAAGGAGTAACATTACGGTTACCTTTAATATGTTTGATGTTAACAGTCCATCCAGGATCACCTGAAGGAAACATTAAAGGATACGTCATAGGATCAACATTTGCACTAAGACTGGAAATTGGAATACTTTCAGAATTCTTTGGATATATACATATATCTCGTTCCATGGGTGGTTCACCATCTTCGCTTACAAATATAACTGCTACTTCATCAGATGACGGAAGATTAAATTTCTTTTAATTCAATGATCTATCGCGTTTAATCCACATTTCAATTTTTCTAGGAGGCTTATTTAATAATTTGGCTCTTGCTTCCTCTTCAATTTCTACTTCTCGCATAATTTTAAATGCTTTAGCATATGGATTAATCTCTCGAAGTAATAGGTCTAATTCCACCAATAATACTCTTAGAATTTTTTCATTACATTTGTTTTTCAATCGTTCTTGAACAGCTTCATTTGAATCAATGACATACAATTGACCATATTTACGTCTATCATCATCTTTCGGATGTAAAGAATATGTACAATGATATACTTGACCGTGAATTCGAAAAACATACGGACCAGATCCTTTTGGAATTTCCAATTTAGCAATTTTGCTTACTATATTTACATGCTACATTTTTTCTTCGTCGCTCTTTCTTATCAACATCCATTTCCAGAGATAATTGTTTTCTTTTACTTATTAAATTTTTATTTTGACGATCTCTTTTCTCAATTTCTGTTTCTAAAGATAGTTTTATTTTTTTGCATAACAAATTCTTTTCTCGACGCTCTTTCTTTACAATATCCGTATCTTCACGTTTTCGCTTTCTTTGTTTATCTTCTTCTTGTCGTTTTCTTTTTTGTTCTACTGTTTCTTCAAACCTTATCTTTCTTTTTCTCTATATATCTTTTATTGCACGATTACTCTTTTTCTCATTTTCCTCATACAAGGGAAATTCGATCATTGTATTCTCAGTAGATAATACTTTGTTTTCATCATTAAGAATATGCAGAATCTTAGATTTTGTAACTAATAAATTTTCAGATCGATCATCAAAAAGACGTCCCCAATTAGGTTCGAGAATTATAGATCTTACAACAGACGATTCTTCTGACGGAAAATGATACAAATAATTATATTTAAATATTAAATACAAATGTTGTCTCATTTCAGAATGAATATAATCAATATTATTTGGCAACATATTAAAGTATACAGAAGTGGCAAATGCTATTGCAAATAATCCACAATCAGTACCATTCGGTTGTTGCTGGACAGCCACAAAAACAACTGGTGGTTCGAAAGGATACAATTTACACAAATAATCTTTTTGATGATGATTCAAACATCCATTATTTACACTATCATAAATATAAAGACTTGTACCATCATAATATGTACAAATCCAATGACCAGATTCGTGCCATCCACTGAATAAAATTTGAATATGCTGTTGATTTTTTTCAATAGGAAGAATTAATTCTAGTGTATTTAAAAGCAACGTACTTTGCATATTAAAAGTATAATTTGAAACTCTTCTCAATAACTTTTCAAATTCGTGCATATGATTATCATTGAGCATTTCGCCCTCACTGAGAATAATAGCATAATCTTTATCACTTAAATTAACGTTATTCCTTTCCCTGTTTGACATAGTTACAATATTTTATACTGTATTTGTATTTGTACTTTCTAAATCTAGTAGTATTATTAGTGTATTTTTCTATGATCTAGTATTACTTTAAAAAACTTTATTTCATTTTTAATTTACTCTTTCATTATCATTCTTAAAATTTTCATTCAATTTTCATTTCCATTTTTCATAAATATTTTGATTTTAAGATCATAAAAATTATAATTTTAATATGTATGTATTCATTCCATTTTTGTACATCTCATTTCCTTTTTTTTCTATATTCATTTCATTTCAATCATCAAATATTTCATTTCATGTCTTATTTCATTTGTCCAATATCATATAAATATTTCTTTTCATGTCTTATTTCATTTGTCCAATATCTTTTTTTCCATACATTATTTCATTTTTACCCATCAAAATTTATTTTCCACGTCATTCTATTTTTGCCCCTCAGTTTTATTTTTCCCATTTGCTATTCCATTTTATCCCGTCTAATTTCAATTTTTCTAATTATCCAATTAATTTTCAACTTTTTAAAGTTGTACTTCGCATTAAAAACATCTTTTCTTTTTATTGTAAATTTTCACTTAACTACTGTATTTAATTTTTCACAAATTTTTTAATCACCAACAATTTTTAATAATTAGAACAGACTATTTTTCACTAACATTTTTATAATCACGGAAACACTTCTCAAATAAAAAAAAATTATTATTTTATATTTATATTTTATATTTTTATGTACAATTATATGATTATTAATTTTTCGAACTAACAATTTTTTTTAACAATTTGCATACATAAATTTTTTTAACAACACATTTTTTTTCAAACACTTGGTCACAAAATTGTTTAAACACACAAATTTTTTTAATTTCATTCACAATTATCACTTAGTCACAAATCTCTTTAAGAACAATAACTTTTTTATCAACTATAACACATTTTCAATTTATAAAAATCAATAAATTTTTCCTTAACGACTTTTTACACTAAAACTTTTTTTAACAATACATGGTTCTTTAATCACTCGGTCACAATATGTTTTAAACACAATAAATTTTTAATTTTAATCACAATTTTCACTTCGTCAAAAAAAATTTTAAGCACTTTTTTACACACTTTCATAGTTTTCTAATTAATATATTTAATATATTTTCATTAATTGATATTTATTTAATCACTATCACTACTTTTTATTAATTTTCCTTCGTTTTTCACAATCCTCTTCATCTGAGAGGACGAACGCAACTAAAGTAATAAAGTTTCAAAAATTAGTAAATTTTTCCACAATTCAGGTACCTGGCTATAAACCCATTCTTGAAAAGGTCTTTAAATAATAGATAGATAACAACTCATTTGTTTTGATTTTGAAGTAACCTTTGAGGCAATTAACTTCTCTCTCTAACCATAATGCTTGAATACAAACTTTCCTTTTCTTAAGAAGAGACAAATCAGTTAAAGGACAACATAATATTATTCCCTCTCCTTACTCAAAACAATCAAATGCAATCTTTCCTCTTCTAATGGATAGAGCGAGCTCCTTTTTTCTCTCCCCCTCTCTCTACCCAAAGCTAAAACTTCTCTTTCTCTCTCAAGAAGAAAATTAATAAACCAATCAGTGAAAGGGCATTATTATTATATTATATTAATATATCTATATATATGAAATTTTTCTCTCCCCACTCAAGATAATCAACTGCAATCTTTCCTTTTCTAATGAATAAAGCGAGCTCATTTCTCTCTCTCTCTCTCTCTCTCACACCCAAAGGTAAAAGTTCTCTTTCTCTCTTAAGGAGAAAACAGCATGGGGCTGCGGACAGAATGAATGAATGAATGAAATCGAAGATTATTATTTAAAGAATTATAACATTACAATATTTCATGATATACAATATTCTTCACATATAACTTTTCAGGAAATTCTATATTTTTATATATAGCAGAATCAATAGCATGAATTTTTAGATGTTCCTTGGATTTAACTCTAGAACAACCAACATAAATTTGACCATGACCAAATGTTGAAATTGGTAAATAAATTCCTACTCTATCAAAAGATTGTCCTTGAGATTTATTAATAGTCATGGCATAAGCAAGTCTAACAGGAAATTGTCTTCTTACCATTTTGAAAGGATATGTGTCTTGAGAAGGAGATAAATCAATACGTGGAATAAAAACTATTTCACCTTTAGATTTTCCAGAAATTATTTCTGCAGAAATTACGTTTCTCAATAATGATTTTACAACTAATCGAGTCCCATTACATAATCCTTGAACTAAATTCATATTTCTCAAAAGCATAATTATACATCCTACCTTTAAAGATAATTTATGAGGAGGTAAACCATCTGGTGTCAAACTATTTAAAAATTCTATTGGAATAATATTATTTACATCTTTTGGGTCGTCATCGACATGTGAATCAACACTATAATAAACTACTTCTTGTCCTTCTAATTTTAACAAAATACGTTCATTTAGATCTAACACTTCAGAATTAGTCAATGAAAGTATGCATGATGAGTAAACAGATACATCATTTTGATTTATTGACAATCCATATATTTCATCTATTAAATTTCCGCCAGAAATCAAATCCTGTGGAATTTCTAAAACACCGTTCTCTTTTTCAAACATAGAATGAGTTTTACCGTCACCAACATTTAATAACCAATTTGAAAACTCTTCCTCTTTATTATCCAATCTAACATTAACATGTAAGGACCTAGTTTCAAAAAGATCCCACAATCTACTATTTTTCACACATACCTCAACAATGTGAGTGCGACTGCCATGCGAAATAATTGGCAAAGTTTGTCTAAAATCTCCTGAAAGCAAAATAACTTTACCGCCGAATGGTTTATTACATTGTGTTATATCTCGCAACATAGTCTCCATAGCTTGTAAAGCAAATTTAGGTGCCATCGTAATTTCATCCCAAATTATAATTTTGGCATTTTTTAAAAGTTCAGCGTGTTTTGACATTCTACTTATATTACATGTTGAATCTTCATTGATTGGAATAGGAAATTTAAAAACTGAATGTGAGGTTCGTCCACCTCTTAAAAGATTAGCTGCTATACCAGTCCAAGCAACTGCTAAAACTACTAATTCTTGACTTTCAAGAGTAGCAATAATTGTATTTTCTAAATAACTTTTACCACAACCACCAGGTGCAGAAACAAAAAAGTACCTATTTTTGCAATCATCATTA